CTTATACACAAACAACAAACTTATTGAGAGAAAAATTAGGGAAATCACACCTTTCACAATAGCATCCAAAAAATGAAATACTTAGGAATCAATCTAGCAAAGGAAGTAAAACATTCATGTATTGAAAATTACAGGACTCTGAAAAAGGATATTGAAAAGGATATCAGAAAATGGAAAGATATCCCTTGCTCATGGATAGGAAGAACCAACATAGTCAAAATGGCCATACTTTCAAAGTTGTTATGCAGATTTAATGCAATCCTGATCAAAATACCATTAGCATAGCTCACAGAACTAGAGAAAACATTCCTGAAATTCATCTGGAACCAGAAGCGATCTAGAATAGTAAAGGCAATCCTGGGCAACAAAGACAAGTTAGGAGACATCACAATGCCTGACTTGAAATTATATTACAAAGCTACTGTGATAAAATCAGCATGGTACTGGCAATAAAATAGACTTGAGGACCAGCGGAACAGATTGGAAGATGCAGACGCAGCTACAAACACACTTAGCCACCTTATCTTTGACAAAGAGGCCAAACATGTTCACTCAAAAAAAAGATAGTCTCTTTAATAAATCGTGCTGGAAAAACTGGCTCTCTACAAGCTGAAGACTCAAACTAGACCCATGTCTATCACCATGCACTAAACTAAAGTCAAAATTGATCAAAGATATAAATATTAAAGCAGAAACACTAAATCTACTGGAAGAGAAAGTAGGTCGAAATCTTGAAGACATAGGCATAGGCAGTCTTCATGAACAAAACCCAAACTGCACAGAAAACAAAGAATCAGCAACTGAGATCTCATCCTATTAAAAAGATTTTGTACTTCAAAATAAACCACCAATAGAACGAAAAGACAACCCACAGAATGAGAAAACATTTTAGGTAACTGTCCCTCAGACAAAGAACATATCTAGAACATATAAAGAATTGTAAAAAATCAGAACTCTCAAACTCAAAGACCCAATCCAAAAATGGGCATCAGAAATGAATATGCACTTCTCACATGAAGAAATAAAAATGGGGGCTGGGGATTTAGCTCAGC